ACGAACCAACCACCCCCCCCTTTCGTCTCACAACCTGAAAAATAAACAATCTTGTTTTGTATTTCAGGGTCTTTGTTTTCTTCAAGCAACTCAGTTGTCTCCGGTTAGGTTTTTGTCTTGCACTGGTATCCTCCTCAGTGGCGTGAGAAATGGATCAGCACCGTGTTACTCTATACGAAATGAGGGCAATTCAGCAAACTAGAACCACAAGGTTATGAAGATGGCTGCGTATCTAACAAGCAGAAAGATGATATTGGTGGATTCCATACGAGCGGTAAATTTGGGCGGGCAAAATCGATCCAAGTGTGATAAAAATCACAGTGCTAGACGTGGTATTTGTAGTTCAACTGGTAGAGCATTGGCTTCGCGCAAAGGCTTTCGCTACTATGCGGGTTCAAATCCCGGCGAAGGCCGCGAGATTCTTCACAATTGGGTCAACTAAATTAAGCAATTCTGCCAAACATCCTAGATACTGAAATAGTTTAGAATTTCAGATATTAAGTCGGCTCCATTGGCAAAAGACAACTCTATTGACGAGTCAAACATTGAAAAGATATTACACAACCTTTATTTTCAATAAAGAATTCTATAAGTTGAAATACGAGTTTCGCAAGATATTTAACTGAGAACGGAAAGGCTTCTTTAGCAAACTTGAATCTTCAATGCGTAAATTATTGAAGTTGATTCTCCAGCTCGTTGTCAGACTATGGAATAAGCACGGGAACAATTACCTTAATTAACCGTGCCTAACAAACTATACAAAAATTAGCCGAGGTCTGCACTAATAGGCGATACATACGTTTCGGCATCCTACCGTGATTGGCTGCGCGCGTTGAACTATGGCCCTGAGATGATTATAGCTGGCGTCCAAATCGATACGTTTGTTGATGCATGCCTCAGCTGAGTGCATTGCTTCCGGGGATTCCCGGCCTTTTCTGGTTGGGCAAGTGCCAACAATCCATGTATTTTCCCAAGCGAATTTGTAATCGGTTTCCAGTGAGTGCATGACCAACTGGGATAAGTTATCTCGTCTTCTGACCGCTAATTGATGTTCGTGTATGTGGATTGAGGGGCATTTCCCAGTTTGGCCACAATAAACCGCCTCACAACTGGCACACGCAATCTTGTAGACAACACCCGTTCTTTCAAGATAGCCAACACTGTCCTTCGGAGATAAAACCTTTAAGCGTAACGTGGTTGTGGACTGGTGTGCCACTTGTATCTGCTCGGACTCATTTTAACGTATTTTTTATATAAAGAGCATTCACTAATAAGGAGTGAGGAGTGATGTAATGGTCGAGGAAAGTTGTGAATAAGAATTCTCAAGAAGTAACTGAAACTATGAAAAAAGATCCACCTGGTGCAATTTTAAAAAGAAGCATTCCTACAAGCAGCAATTTCTTTCTACAGTTTTGCACTTGCGTCTGCAGAGGCCATGTATATATATATATATATATATATTAAAAGTCTCCGAGTTCAGGCGCGAAGTTATCTGATTTAACATTTCGACAAGTGTACTCAGACTCATCACATCAAAAGTGCAGTACCATTCTAGAGTTCCGCTAGATTAATATATACATATAGATTGCACGTCGTACATACGTACTTCTGCAAAAATCAATCTCCTCCTGACCGACCCAACAAAGTACTAGCAGGAAACAAGCTTTAGGCAAGTGAGGCCACGCCGGAAACGTGTATGGGCGTCACCCGCACGCGAGATACAACGGCATTGCAAGTTCATTGCGCATACTTGGCATTAAGAATTGCGGAGGCTACTTTGCAAATAGTACAGAGAACCAAATGCGTGTTATGGAGAGGACGGGATCCTAGTAAATTAAACTTATTTGGATATTCATAAATGATGAAAATAATTGATTTAAAATTCTTCCAAAACTAAACTTTACTGTGTAAGTTCTCAATGTTAGGTTGCACTGATGAACCCTGTAAATATTTGTTGCCGGAAGAAGAAAACTAAGACAAAATTCCCCCTTCTGGCTAATACTTAAGTGAACACATTGTACATCATACGATATGTCAGTCTATTAAACCAACAAATGCGCTCGATTTTTACGTACGCAATTTTGCCAATGAGGATGACTAAATATTCGTTAAGGAACACTAAACGGTAAGAAGGAGCTTTCCAAATAGGATCGTTCTTTCCTCCCTGCCCTAACCCATATGTGCTTGCCTACTTTAGCTCAGGAATGTATTTTTTTCTCTTTCAATTTGTTGTTGATTCACGTTTACCAATGACACCCTCGGGATGACAGCCACCACCACATTCATAATTAAAAAAGGGAATTCGCGCTAAGTGTCCAACAATCGCAAGTAATGCCTACTGATCATAGTACTTAGGAGATTCTCGCCTTAAATTTGTGTTGCTTAAAAATGTGTGTTATGGTGACGATGGAATCCTTGTAAATTTGATTTATTTTGACCGGCATAAATAATCAAAATGATCGTTTTAAATTCTTCCTAAATTAACTTTTATCGTTTAATTGCTGAAAGTGAAGTCGTATATATTTTATAGTGATGAATCCTGTAAATATTTGTAGTCGGAACAAGAAAACCAAGGCAAATTACTCCTCTGGTGACTGCTTAGTCCAAAAAACATTGTAGACCCTGCCATAGCTCAGTTGATTAAACCAACATTTGGGCTTGACTTTTGTATATGCAATCAGGAGGACGAAATATCCATGAAGGGACACTAACCGGTAAGAAGGAGTTTTCTAAATAGGATATACCTTTTCTCCGCGCAGTGACCCATGTATGTTTGCCTACTGTAGCTCAGGGATCTTTTTTTCTGTTAATTTGTTGTTCACCGTTGACACCCTCGGGACGACAACCAACAGCACACTCTTAATTGACAAAGAAGATTGGCGCTAAGTGTCGAACTGGACAAGCACAAGCGGTGTCTTCAAATCATAGTACTTAGGATATTTTTGCCTAGAATTTCTATTGGTTAAAAATAAGGGTTGTCTCCCTTCAGAAAACCAATAGAGCATTCGATGGCCAATCATAGCTTGTCGCCATTTTAACCATACAACACATTAGGGCCGAGGAGCCCTAGGGACAAAAATTGGAACCTTTTGAACTTTGAAAAAAATTATTTACAAATAAAGGCTGGTCGTTACGCTAACTACGGCCCGTGAAGCTTCAGATTGAAAAAGGCAAGGCAGCCAGAACATCAGGATTCCGTC